GAAAATTGTACAAATAATAAATACTGGAGAATATATGGGAAAAAAGGAACCTTCCTACACTGCTGGTGGGAATGGAAGTTGCTGTAGCCACTATGGAAACAAGTATGCAGGTTCCTTAAAAAACTAAAGCTAGAACTACCATATGATATAGCAATCCCACTTCTGGAAAAAGACAAAAACTCTAATTAGAAATGACACATCGGACCTGGTGTACTGGGAAGACCCAGAGGGATCGGGTGGAGAGGGAGGTAGGAGGGGGGATCGGGATGGGGAATACATGTAAAACCATGGCTGATTCTTGTCAATGTATGACAAAAACCACTACAATATTGTAAAGTAATTAGCCTCCAACTAATAAAAAAAAAAAGAAATGACACATACACCCCAATGTTCATAGCAACACTATTTACAATAGCCAAGGTATAGAAGCAACCTAAGTGTCCATCAACAGATAAATGGATAAAGAGGATGTGGTTTGTATATATGTAATGGAATATTATTCAGCCATTTAAAAAGAATGAAATAATACTATTTGCAGCAATGTGGGTGGACCTAGAGAATATCATACTAAGTGAAGTAAGTCAGAGAAAGAGAAATATTATATGATATCACTCATCTGTGGAATCTAAAAAATAATACAGGGAACGGGAGGAGGAATAAATAGGAGAGGGGATGAAGAGATACACACTACCATATGTAAAACAGATAAGCAATGATGATTTACTGTATAGTACAGGAAACTATGGGCTTCCCAGGTGGTGCTAGTGGTAAAGAACCCGCCTGCCAGTGCAGGAGACCTAAGAGATGTGGTTTCCATCCCTGGGTTGGGAAGATCCCCTGGAGGAGGGCATGGCAATCCACTCCAGTATTCTTGCTTGAAGAATCCCATGGACATAGGAGCCTGGTGGGCTACAGTCCATAAGGTCACAAGCAGTTGGACATGACTGAAGCAACTGAGCACATATGCACTCACAGGACACTATATCCAGTATCTTGTAATAACCTATAATAGAAAATAATCTGAAAAAATATACACCTGAATCACTTTATACACCTGAAACTAAGACAATATTATAAATCAACCATACTTCAATTAAAAACATCAACATTATCCTTTTCCAAAGACGTTTTGCTTACCAGAGCTGTGACTGGATCTTGAGCCATTGTTTAAGTCAGTTTGGCCTACTGTTCAGTCCAGCAGTGGAAATGCTGGGGTGCAGGAGGATCGAGTGGCATACGGTCCCAGTGGTGTTCCACCTGCTCATGCTACCTTACGTGAAATACCCCTAAACTCACAGCCATTGAGCACATCCCTCAGGGACCACCCTCTTCCAGAGCGCAGAGGTTCCATCCAGGGGCCACATCGCACTCCCTTCTCACTGATGGTTCCTGGGCAGAGCTGACTTGTTCCACCTTCTTTCTAAGTCTCTCCGTTACTTCCTGCCTTCCAGTTGGGCAGTGTGGAAAGGATACCAGACTAGAAGCAGAAACCTGGGTTTGTGCTAAATGATGTGTGATCTTGTACAAGTAGGCTTACTCCCCACACCCAACCTCAGTCTTCCATCTGTTAAAAGACAGACCTGTATTAAAATTGATGTTTAACAAAAGTTGTGAATGACATGAAAAATCTTTTTGAATATAATGCTAAGTGAAAAATCTGGATTCAAAATCATATATATACAATCTGATTCCAGTTTTAGAAAAAGTTTATGGAAAAAAAAGACCCCTACAAGGATAGGGGTGTGTGTGTGTGTGTGTGTGTGTACGTGATAGCATTGGAAGATTTAGATGATTTTGTTGTTTCTTTCGTTTTCCCATATTCTTAAAAAAATTTTTTTTTACAATGTGTTACTTTTCAATTAAAAAATGGAGGGATTTTCCTTGAGACTCCAATAGTCCAAGCTGCTGAACCATCTCAACTGCCTGAGGAACCAAATAAAAACCAGAAGAATGAAGTTCACTCTGTTCATTCCATTTTGTCCTGGGCATTCGGGAAGGGGTGAGACTGGCCTTTCCTGAGCTGACACTCTGACAAGGACAGGCTGCTCAAGGCCCTGAGCTGACCTCTGGACTCAGTGAAAGGCCCTCTCTGCTATGCTTATGGATCCAGCCATGCCCCCACCTGGCTCCAGGAATGAATAATTAAAGTGGGTGGTCGTAGAACTGAGCTTGGAGCTTGATCTGGTAGGTCTACATAGGCCATATCAAATGAGAATTAAGTTTCTTCCTCTGGCTTATACTGGGGCACCAGGAAAAGGGTGACATTTTCAACAGATGGCCTGATCTAAAGTGATTCCAGAACTTGGCTCTTTCTTGCTGGCAGAGGCCCCTCACCGCAGTGTCCACCTGTCCCTACATTCTTGTTTCTGCTGAACAGGGGCATCTAATTAAGACATTTGTGGAAGGTGGCCCAACAGGAAAAGAATTTGCTACTTAAAATCTCAAGTCTCAAAAGATGAAAAAATGTTTTTCCAGCAGTTAGATAACTGGGCCAGCAGTCAGATAACTGCCCTTTCATGACTGAACCACAGGAGGCTAGCATACTCTCTGCAGAGGAAAACGGTCCCTGACAAATCACTTCTCCAGGAGAGAGTCTCTGGAAGTTACTCTGAGACTCAAAATGAAACAAATATAGCAAATAAGCATGGTGGTCAAATAAGCCAGCCAACATCTGTTATTGTCATTGGTTATATTTTCTCAGATATCACACAATGACAGCCCTCACCAAGTTCTTAGAAACTTCAGCCACAGAAACAAAACCCTGTCCAGACAATCTGGAACCTCAGGGAATGAAGTGTAACTTCTCTCAGGCTCCTCTTGAAGTTCCAGATCCTTGGACTAAGAAAATCTCTGGACGAAGAGCCTGGGTAAGGAAGAAGACAGCTTTCTCAGTTGATTTTCTTGCTGAGAGTTTAGAATCTCAAAGCTCCCAGTTTGAAGCTTTTCTTTCTACCATAGAATAGAATGATTTATGTCATAAAATGCCCTCTATATTCCACATAAGATTTATTTATGACCTATCCATTCTGACCAGTGGGCCCTGGACCTAGCACACCTGAGTGAGATGCTAAGCAGAGGAGTGGGTGAGCCTAAACTTTGTAGTCTTGCCCTGCTGCTGGCCGTGAAGACCTCAGGAACGCACAGATGCTCTTAATTTCGCTTTCTGAAGCTCTAGGAGAAGCCTGGAATTTGATTAGTTTATGGTCCAGAGGCAAGTCTCCTTTCCCAACCATGTTCTGCTTTCCATCGGGAGTGAGTTTTGATCTCATCAGTCCTTCAGTGACACATTGAAACCTCTATAATCCTCTAGTTGCCCTTTTTGCCATGACTAGAAAAAAAGATCAGACCTACATGTAGCATCTGCTTAAAGAAATTCTCTCATCCCAGATCCCTGTTACAGTCATTCTCATTCTGTATTATCTTTTATCTATCCTGCCAGGTATGTATGTATTTAGATAGAGAGGTATCTAGGTAGGTTTGAAAGTATTAGTTGCTCAGTTGTGTCTGACTGTTCGTGACCCCATGGACTATAGCTAGGCAGGTAGGTAAGTAGACAGATACATTAAAACTGCATTCTTTATCTGTTGGGCACATCTTAAGAGCTGGAATTCACCAATGTGTATCAATCTTTTCCAAACAATAATGCAAGGGAAAAAAGGTTTGTCTCCCTTAGTTCAAGAGCAACCTAGGAAGGATACAGTCCCTGAGGGTCCTTCCATGAAAAGGGGATGCCCAGTGGATACATTTGGAGACTGAGGGTATAGACTGAAAGAGATTTTGGCAGACACCCTATTTTGAGAATAGGGTGACTTCTGGAAGGTGACCTGAATGATAATTGCTGAGCATTTACTCTGTTCCAGGTACTACTGTAAGCATCTTATACACATAACTCACCTAACCTCTATATTAACACTGTCATATCATGTTACAGATGGGGAAACTGAGGCCCAGAGACATGATCCAAACATACCCAAGGTTACAGAGATAGATATTGTCAGAGCTTGGCCTCAAACCCAAGAACTCTACCTCTGAAGCCCAGATTTTTAGCCAATAATCTTATTGTCTGACCCAACTTAAATTGATTGTGTCCAGGAAATTTGTATTATATCTTAGAACAGAGGTCAAGGAGGATAATATTTTCTTTCCTAGGAGCTTCTGCCCTTGGGACAGTGCCTGTCAATGGAGAAATGGCCTCCCTTTGATAAACGTGCCCAGGAAGGTTCTCCATCAATCATGACCCAAGAGCTGGTGCACAGACAGCCAGGCATGATGGCAGTGGCCTCAGGGGGAGTGCAGCCTCGATCATTCCCTTAGGACCTCAGCAGACTGGTGCCTTTATGTGGAGACAAACCTCAGTCTAGGCATCTCAGGAGAGACCACTGCTTCCTCTCTCGGTGTAGGAAAGAGCAGAAGCTTGGGGTCTGAACAATCCTGGGTTGACTCTCTAGATCCACAGTCACACAGTGGTATGGAATCTCTTAACCCCTCAGCTCAGTGTGTGAAGTGGCGTGATTACAAAGGCTGAGGTGAAACATGCAATAAAAGCAGGTGCCTGGCAAATGGATCATCAGAACAATGTTAGCCAGCTTCCTCTTGCTTCTCTCCACTTGTTCAAACAAGTGCATGCAAATATTGTTGGAAATCAACCAAGCACGTTCTCACCTTCTCGCCCTACCCACTCTTAGCCATTCCGTGCTAGAGTCATCTCCACCGCAGCCCTATAGCCACTTCTTCACATACACTCTCTAGCTCTGTCTCTCTTTCTCTGCTCCCCTTCTCCCAAACCCCCATTGTACACATTCTCCTTCCCCTGCACCCCTTTGACTAGACAGATCCATCAGAAGTAAACAGCTAATGAGCTGTCAGAAGTCCTGACCTGCCCTTCTGAGTAGATGAGACCTGTTCAAGGGTATACTGTTACATGGAGACAAAATTGCTAGTCAGATTTCCCCCTGCCCCCCAGGAATGAGGTACCTCCCGCTCCTCCCCCAAAGACTCACCCATATCAGGGGCACAAGCCTCGTCTGCTTTGGCAGCATTATCTGCATTCTGTATGTCGGAATCTGGGGAATAAAAAGAAGATATCATGACCAGCCCCTGTCCTCTAGGTTTTTTGAGAGGTAGGAGACCCCACAAAGTCTGGATCTCTTGGGGTATACCAGTGTCTCTGGTGTCTTCTGGGTTCGTGCTCACTTACTGGAGTTGGCTATGTCTTCCCCATTACAGCCCAAACTCTAGAAAGGCAGTAACCACACTTTCCCCCCGCTCTAAAACTCTCAGGGCACACAAGCTGACTGTGCTCCCCAGGAACTGGCAACTTTTGTGGAAGACCCACCCCCGCTGCCATACATTATGTTATGCCTCCTCTTCCCCATCCTCTTCTCTGATTCTGAGTGTCAGGCATTATGAGAGATGTCAGTCAGGATTTCCTGAGAGGGCAGGAGTCCTGGTTCCTTGATCTCCATTCCCTCCTCCTCCCCATAGGGAAGTTACCGTGCACAAGGGACCCTCTGGTAGTGCAGCCTGAGCCTGTGGCAAGTGGGTCAGAGCTACAAAATCTCCCTTCCATCTCAGGGATGCTGGTCCAGGTACCTGGGCCACTGGCCTCGCTGTTGCTGGCTCCCTCCTTCGGGTGCTCAGGGGTCTCCTGCCGGGGTTTCTGGCTGAAGGCCAGGAAGAGGTGTGTGCTCAGTGGCTGAGGAAGGTCCACCTCCAAGTATGCCTTCATGAACAGCTTGAAGACATCATAGCTGATTGGCTGAGAAGGGATGAGGAGGGACATGTCAGTGGAGAGACGTGAAGAGACAGAGAAGTGAGTAGGGAGAGAAGAAGGAATTGGGGAGCTGGCAGTGGAAAGGCAAGTTGGAGGGAGTGGAGTGATTGTTGGGGGCAGGAATGAAAAGGCTCAGGGTGTGATAGAGAGTAACAGGTTCAGGGAGCAGAAGCGGGATGTGAGTAAGAGAAAAAACTGGTGGTTATATGTTGAGGCTTGGTAGGACACAAAACCACAGCAGGCTTTTGTAACAAGACATGTCTAAGTTTAGGCAGAAAAGGGGGCAATGGAGAGTGAACCCTGGGAATGAGGGCTCTGCTTGAGTCCAGCCCCACATGAGGGTCTTGACTCTAATGAGCAGGACCAGGTCAGTGCCCTGGAATCCCAGTTAAGATGAAGATGAGGAGAGAGGGGAGAGGGAGGTGGGGAGGGCAAGACAGGGGCATGGGATTAAGAGGTTAACTACTATGTGTAAAATAAATAAGCAACAAGGATATTGTATTGCACAGGGAAACACAACCATTATTCTGTAATAACTTTAAATGGAGCATAATCTATAAAAATATTGAATCACTATGCTGCACACATGACAATAATATAATGTCATAAATCAGCTGTACTTCAATTAAAAAAAGATGAAGAAGGATGTAGTTGAAAACACAATGGAAAGCAATTGCTCTTCTGCGGTATGTCAATTTTTTGCTTATACTGTGAGTGATGTGGTTCCTGAGGATTCAGGTCCCAGAAAATAAAAAGGGGATAGGCTCCATCCTTCATTACTTTCATAATTGACCTTCTTTGGAGAAACCTCAAGGTAACAGGGGAGGGTGTGTGTCTGGTTCAGTGGTTCTCAAAACATGTCCTTGTGAAGGTTTCAGGCTCCAGGAGTGAAGAACAGGATGCCAAGGACAGAAGGTAGAAGCAAGAAACATGCCAAAAACTAGCACCTCTCCTTGCTGTATGTTGTCCAGTGCTGCCTGGCTTCTGGTCCCAGGTTGGGGGGACTGCCAGAAAGAGCTGCTGCTCTCAGCAAACACCCGACAACAACAGTGCGCAGTGAGTCATCACTGGCTTGGGTTTTGATGGCATCAGATTTTTCATCAAATCTGCAGATGCTCCTGGAAATCATCTGAGGAAGCGTTGCTCCAAGATCCGCTGTGCAGGCTTTTGTGAACAATAGCGATAAAAATCCCTTTTTGGGAGGCTACTTGGCTCTCCCTGAAAATGTGAATAGCATTTAACCCCTTGTCTCTTCTGGAAGATCTGAGAGTCTTCCCAGAACCAGGAGCTGGCTGGCACATGCATCATCAGGTTTGCGATACTAAGTCTTGGTCCTTAAAACAAGCAACACTCACTCTCTGGACCACACTGGGAGGGCGCTTGCAAGGTGGCTTCTCTTTAGCCTCAGGGCAGGCAGTGCAAATATCTCCTTGGCAGAGTGGAGGAAGCCTGATTTGGCTGGACAGAGATAATGAAGGGTCTTACCAGAGGAAGGATCTCCAAACAAATGGTGGACTCACATTTCTGGGACAGCTCTCAGTCTCCATCTCTCTCTCTCTGCCCTTCCTGAATTTTGTACTCTTTCTGTCCTGTCTCCACTCCTTCAACACTTCAGAATGTCTCCTCCTCTCACATCCTCTGCCGTTTTCCCAGTTCACAATGGCAAAATCTTCTCCTACTTTTCAAGTGGAACCCACCAATGTGACCCTGGATTTTACCTTCTCTGCCTCTTATGGCATATCCCAGCACCTGCTTCTCTGCTTGTGAACATGTTCAGATCACTCTTCCAAAGAAATTATTGGTGGCTTGAGCTACTAGCCTGTGCTTCTTCCCTTCCCCTTCATACTTCTCCTTACCTCCTTAATCCATTCAATTTGGATTCCAGTGCATCACCTCTGAATCTGCTCTCTTGAGGGTCACAAATTCAATGATCTTTTTAAAGATTTTCTCATCTTTATTACTAATTTATTTTAAAAGGCTTTTTTTTTTGCACTGTCCTTCTTTTGCACATTTTAATCAACAAGAAGTGTTTAACAATATAGTTTTGAGCTCCAAAATGTCCTGTTAACTTTTTTTTGGTTGGCCTCAAATTGAAAACTATCAGCATAAAATATTTCTGGAAAACAGAGTGTACTAAATGATTTAATAAAAATGAAATTCAGTTAAAGTCTTACATAATGCTCTTAAAAAACCAGAGCTGGAAGATCTTCAAACAAGACCAGTGTAAGATTCAGGAGACCTTGTGACTAATCTAAGGTCTACCACATTTTCCTCCTTGGGTTTTTCTTTAGCAAACTATGTAGGGCTGGACCAGAAGATTTCAAGCTCTAAACTGCTATTAGATTCTTTCTTAAACTGGTTCCTTTTCCTGACTGTGCCGCTGTGCTATGCTTAGTTGCTCAGATGTGTCTGACTCTTTGTGACCCTGGAGTGGATTGCTATGCCCTCCTCCAGGTGATCTTCCCAACACAGGGATTGAACCCAGGTCTCCCGCATTGCAGGTGGATTCTTTACCATCTGTGCCACAAGGGAAGGCCTCCTGACTGTGCAGTTTCTGTTAATGTCAATGGCAGCATTATCCTGTCAATATTCCAGGCTCAGCTTTGAACTCCCAGTTGTCTGAGATCAATTCTTGTCTCTTCCCTCTTTCCACTGTTCTTCGGCAACTTCTGTCATATCCAGGTCTTTTTTTGGATCCATGGCCCATCAGCCACCATCCTGACAAGGAATGTTGTGGTTTCATATTCCTGGTTTCAGACTCCTGTTTCTTGTACCCCATCTGGGCTACTATAATGCCCCTCCAAGCCTCCTCTGCCTCCACCTCCATCTGTTAGTCCTCTCATCTTTCCCATCCTTGCCAGCTTGATCTTCCCAAAGCTCAATTCTTATCAGATTGCTTCCCAACTCAAAAACTTTCCTCGGCCTCTAATTACCCATGGGAGAGTTGAGATCACTTGTCTCCAAACTTTTAAAATCAGGTGCTCCTCTGTTAAGATTTTCAAACATACGCTCCTGTTTATCTTCACTTACACATTGTATACATGTGTTACTGTGCTCCTCTATTATACATTATAGAAGACAAAAAAATTAGAAAAAAATCGATATAAATAGAAGATCTAATATGCAGCACTGCTGCAGTCCAATGGATCATCCTGTTCACTCCTTGAGTCCTTTGGGATTCAAAGCCCTACTATAATCCCATTCCAGCCTAGGTTTGTAGCTACATCAAGCTCGGAGACCATTCTGGTCTTTTCTCCTATGATTCTCTATGTGTACCTCTACACACTGATCTCTGTGTTCTTTCCTGGCCAGGCTTTCATGTACTTACATGAACTGCTTTCTTGGCCCAACTCAGATGCCACCTCTTCCAGAAAGCCTAGTATGATCTCCTGTGCCTGAACTGCTCTACTTTTCCACCTTGGTTCCTGACTGGGGACACTCACACTGCTACCCTCTCAATATACAGTTGTTCATAACACACACACTAAAAGGTAGGGATTTGTCTTATAGCATCTTTGTATCTGCCACACCACCTATCATGGTATTTCCTGATAGTATTTTAATGGATGTTGGGTTTCTAGTTGGTACACTTGCTGTCATCAATTACTGTGGGGTCTCTTCAATCAATATATATGTACTGAGTCTCCCAGGTACAAGACACACTGCTGGGCGCCAATGAGGAACACACTGGTGAGTCAGGTATGGGTCCACACTTTTAAGAGACTCAGTGGTAAAGGTACTGAAATGATTCTAATATAGGGTCAACAGTGGTGAGTGCCATAGAAGAAAAACTGACAAACTGTTAGAACTTAGAAAACAGTTATGATTGAGCACATGTTCAATCATTTATGGCCCTATCCTGGAGGAACAGAGTGGTATAAAACAAGCCCAGAAACATAGAGCATTCACATCAGAAGAGCTCAGAGTGGACTTCATCTCCTTACATCACCAAGACTCTGGAAGTTAATCTGCCTCAGCCAGTTCACAGCAAAGTGAAACCAGAAGCTTCATCTTTGACTTCTGGTCCAGTGCTCCTGCCATTGTATCTGTCCAGGCCCCGGTGCTGACATCCTGCTCCCTGCCAGTCCCTCTAAGCACCTCAAGTTCAGCAGGCAAGGAGATGTGACGAGGGGCCTCTCTCAGTGACATCTGGGTTGCAAAAGAATAAGTTCTTTATGAGCACAGACCAGGTAGCTGCCTGGTTATTGTGTGATGGGTAGGAAGCGGATGGTATGTTGCCCAAAGCAGATAACCAACCACTATGCATCATACTGGCAATTCTCAGAACCCTTAGTAACATCTTAGACACTGCTATTGTTCAGACTTTTTTTTCTTTTCCCCCAGAAAGTGTGACTTTCATGTGGAAACTAGCTAGGCAGTTGTTAATTCCTCCACAGGCTAAAAAGGAAGGAGAATGAGATGAAGAGTCTGGTGACCACTGTCTTGCTTAAGTCTTAAAACAACAATATGAGATGGTATTGCTATTATCATGTGGTAGATGAAAAAAAAATTCTGGAAACATAACTTGCTCAAAGTCATAAAAGCAAGAAGCAGAGCTGTGCTTTGTGCTAAGATGCTACCAGGTCCCCCTACATTTTTGGCTTCATTGTTTCTGTCTACTTTCTCGAGTCTTCAGCGGCACTCTGTTCTCCAGAGAATCACACAGTGCCAGCCAGCAAGGGTACTCTTGTCAGGGCCACATGCCGCCGGCAGCCACTCTACAAACTTTTCTTTCTGGCCTCACTTTCCTAAGCAACCTGCCCCTTCCAACAGCTAACTCATTGTTCGTTGAGACATTTTAGCAGCAGTAAGCCATCAAGCTCAAGAGAATTTAAACCCTTGTTGTTCCTGAACCCCGTGCTGGCACATTATACCTACTTGAAGCCAGCCACACTGTGAGAGAGAATGAAATCAGAGTGATGGAGCTCCCCTGGGACACAGCACTGCTAGGGTATAAAGAGCGAGGGGCCAGCCCAGTGGAGGCGGGGGTGGCAGCAAGCTCACAGCAGCCAAGCTGCTCCCTGCTTCTGTAAGCTCCTGTGGCCTTCACACCTTCTGCAGCCCTGACTAAACTGTTCCCTCCTACTCGTCAGCCTCAGGGCGGACAGGCTGATTAGCAACCCCCGTTGGTCTTTGTCCTGATGTTTTGGGAGGTGGGGATGGCAACTGGGGGGCTGCAAGTTCTTTGCTGCCTTTGGCATCCTTTCTACATGGTTTGTCCTCAAGAATGTTCTTTGAAACTGCGTTTTCAGTCTGGTCCCTGTTCTTTCATCTTCCTTCTGCTTCACTCTCAGGTGATGGGTGCATTTTATCCAAAACACCCCTCAGGTGTACCCCTAGGGTATGGGCTCTGTTGATTCTCTCCTAGGACCCAGCAGAGAAGGAACTGACTCAAGGTCTATTGAAAGGATGACAATATGAATAAATAAGCACCCAGCCTCCTCCCAAGTTTGTCCTGATGAGCAGTAGCTTTTCTGCAATTAGCCCTCATAAAAAGACCTAGGACCAGGGAAGAGGGAGTTGAGTTTAAAACATTCTGGGGAAAGGGAACAGAAGGGGAATAATAATTGGCACTATTTTCAGTGTCCTTAAATCTTAGACATTTTTCAGAAATCATCTTATGTGGTTCACTCATCTGTAAACTTCAAGGTCTTTTTTTTTTATTGTTATTATCTTCAGTTCACAGATAAAGAAACGGAGGCTCAAACAGGTGAAATATTCAAGGTCTCATTGCTGGTTTGCAGCACAGGTAGGAGTCTAAGCTAAGACCCTGTGACTCCAGGGTCATGGCTCTCAAACTTGGCCCTACCAGTAGGAAGTAAGTTCTGGAGGGAGCCAGAAACTGTGCTTCTTCATCTTTATGTCTTCTACAGTATCTAGCATGGTGCCTGGACTCTCAGGAAACTTTACATGAGCTGAATCTTGCATACATTTATTCATTCAACAAATGTTTGTTGGGTGCCTGCTATGAGCCAGATACTCTTCTGGGCACTGAGGACATAGCAGTGAACAAAAATATTCCAATGGAAGAGATAGACAATTAAATAATTAAGTTATATAGTGTGACAGATGGTGAGAAGCACAAAGGAGGAAAATAAGCAGAGCAAAAGATATGAAGTGTTAGGAAAGAGGGCTTAACATTTTAGATAGAGAATGTGACATCCACTGAGAAGGTGATTTGAGCAAACACTTGCAGGAGGTGAAAGAATGAATGATATGAATAGCTAGGGGAGGAACACAGAAGGAAGAGGCCAGAGCAAGGGCACAGATATTAAGGTTAAAGCAACCTTGACTTGTTTGATGGCATCAGAGGCTAATAAGGATGGGAGAAATGAGATGAAGATTAGCAGGAGATGAGGTCTGAGAGTAGGGTGCAGATTGTAATGATCTTGATTTTTGACTCTAATAGCAGGTGGGCAGACCATAAGAGATTGTAGAACAGAGCAGTGATATGATCTGACTTCAGTTTAACAGACTGCTCAGTATGTGTGTGAAGAATAGATTTTCAAGGTCAAGAGCAAAACCAGGGAGCCCAATGAGGAGACTACTGCAGTGATCTGGGCAAAACATGGTGGTGACTCAGGTCAGGGTGGTAGCAGAGCTTGTGTCTGGAATTTGGATGTATTTTGAAGGTAGAAGTGACGGAGGTTGCTGATAAATTAGCCGTGAGATGTGAGGAAAGCAGAAAAGAAAAAAGTCAATGATGACTCCATAGTTTTAGGCTGAATACCTTGAAATGTGGAGCTGTCATTTACTGAAATGGGAAAGAATGCTGGAAAAACAGTCTCTATAAGAGGAAGATGAAAAAGCTCAGTTAGCTTATGTTAAGTTTCATATTCCTATTTGATTTTTAAGTGGAAATGTCAAGGGGTAAGAGAAAAATCAGGAGAGTGTAGTATCCTGAAAACCAAGTAAAGAAAGCACAGGAGGATTTGACCAATCATGTCCAATGCCGTTGAGTAAAATGACTTGAGTATAGCTACATGGAGGTTCTTGGCTGTCTCAACTAGTGGTTTTAGTGGAGGAGTGGGGGTTACATGCTGATTGAAGAACTTTCAGAAAAGTGGGGAAAAGAGAAATTGGGAGCAATGAGTATAGACACATCTTTTGAACAGCTTACTTGCGATAAAGAATAGGAGAGAGATGAAGTGGTAGCTGGAGGGAGAAGTGGAGTCAGAGGAATTTTTTTTTTTAAATATAGGAGAAATAGCAGTATGTTTATTTGTTGATGAGATAGCTCTAATATATAGAGAAAACTGATGGGAAGAGGCAGAGTGAGAGGGAGAGAGAAATATGTTGCTGAAGCAAGGTCTGTCAATGGACCAAAGAGGATGGGATTGAGTGCACAAGTGAGGCTGAAATGAGATCAGAGCATGGACAGTTAACCCAATTACAGGAGAAATGGTATAGCTAGGTGGGCACATAAGGTGAGGATCTTGGGGATGAGTTCTTCTGATTGTTTCTATTTTCTCAGTGGAGTAGAAAACAGTCAGTCGATGACTGGGAATTGAGGAGGGGAGGAGGATAAGAGATTTGAGGAGAGAAGAGACACTGAAAGGGTGAACAGACTTGTGAAGTTGTGACAGAGTGAAGTCGCGCAGTTGTGTCCAACTCGTTGTGACCCCATGGACTGTAGCCTACCAGGTGCCTCCATCCATGGGATTTTCCAGGCAAGAGTACTGGAGTGGGCTGCCATTTCCTTCTCCAGGGGATCTTCCTGACCCAGGGATTGAACCCAGTCTCCCGTGTTGTAGGCAGATGCTTTACCATCTGAGCCACCAGGGAATGGACTTGGGGAACATATAATTCCAGGTAGCACCAATGGCTCACTTGAAACTTGGGAGAAAATATGTTGAGAAGCAAATTCTTCACAGTGAGCTAAACTTCGAACAGAGGAACAAATTATGGAAGAGCTAGAACATGGGGTTTTTAAAGGCTTGAAATGAAAATGTTCTTACCTCATGTGGGCCATATTGTTTGAGGCTCCCACCGTCATTAAATTCAGCCAAGACATACTTAATCTTCTTGGAAGAATCTGGAAAGATATAATCCATATATAAAACAATGGTGAACAGCAAGTGGGAGCTAGGCTAAGTCAATCCTTCATGTGTAATGCTGGTTATGATGGAGCAGCCCCTCATTTCCAGAACCACATGGAATAATGTCCCTTTTATCTGCCTTTCTGCCCTCTCAGTTCTTTTTTTTTTTTTAAGTACATTTTCACTCTTGCTGTATGAACTATCTTTCTAAAACACAAATCTGATTAGATCATGTCTCTGCTCAAAACCCTTAAATGGTTCTTAATTTCCCAGAATAAAGCTTAACCCTCTTTGCTGGTATACAAGTACTTGGTGATCTGATCCAGCCTACTCCTCATCTCTTACTTTAACCATTCATTCACTCTGTTTTTCAGCCATGTCAAACTACATTTCTAGAAATTTCTGAACACACTGTGTACTCTTTCGTGGAGTCTCTTTTCTGCATAGCAAACTTCACTCAATTCTCAGTAGCCAGCTGAAATGCTGACTCCTTTGAAAAGCCTTATTTTACTAGTCAGTTAATCACTCCCTCCCCTGGCTCCCACATGACCTGTACATAACTCTGTAACAGCACTTGTCATATAGTGTTATAGTTATTAACTTGCCCATCTTCTGCCTGGTTCTACCTTCAGAGCTGTAAGTCTTTGTATATCATACCAAGTACTGATACATTATTAGTGCTCAGAAGAATAATACATTAGATGATCAAATAAACATCTGAGCAGAAATTTTAAAGCATTTAAAATGATAATTAAATGGATGGGTGGGCATCAAGCCTGGCAAGGTTCTGTCCTTGGTGCTGAAACAGAGGCAGGGTTCATACACATGGTAGTTGAGAAAAATTCTGCTCTCCATAGGAAGTCATTTAGAAACTAAGGAAAAATGGTGGCTTTTCTTTTATAAGGGACTTTGGAGTCAAGAAAAGACAATCAATAATTGTCATATAAACACATCCTGAGTGCATCCTGTGTAGTTACCAGTACTCTAGACATCAAAGAAAATCAGAATTTCTCTGCTCTATTTCACAGTATTGTGAATAAGTAAGAGCTTCTCAAGTTCCATTACTGCCACAATTTAAGCATCTAAACAAAGGGCAATGTCATTTAACACTGACATAGGATTCCTTGGTATTTGGGCTCATCATACAGACAGTTATGCTCTCTTAGGCCTATGTAAAGTAGGTATGCTGTGGGCTGTCCTTCATGACTTTGCTGACTTGGATTCAATCAAGCACAAGCCATAATCATTTCAGGATTGAGACAAATTAAAATGCCACAGGAAAATTCTGCTGTTGCCTAAAAATGGACATTTCTCTCTGAAATTCAAAACAGATGTTGGAAAACAAATAGCTCAGTGAGGCCCAGGCACCAGATGCCATCAGTTTGGGCTGCTTCCACTCAATTCAGAAAACACTAAGGAGGGTAAGATGCTGCTAGGTACTATGATGAACTAGTTGGGGACAGGATCTGAATAACTGTGGTAATAATAGTTAAGCCTTATTAAAGACCTTTACTACACATTCTTATATACTCTCTGCTACCAATTTGTGCAAATTTGGTTAAATTTTCTTTGGTTGACAGATGAATAAAACTGAAATTTAGAAAAGTTAAGTGACTTACCTGAGTCAGGGTTTTGACTCAGGTCTAGTATGGCTCAAAAGTCTATATTACTTTTCCTTAAGCACTATTCACTAATACTTCCCAAACATTTGCTAACACAAGGCAATATGTAATTAATGCCACAACAATGATATGAAGCTCAAGGAAGCATGGAGTGGGTAAGAAGTAAAATGAACAGGGAAGAAGTAAAACTAGGATGAGAGTAGGGTTAGGGTGGGGACTGGGGATGGCCTATGAAGGAGGTGGCATTTGAGATGGGCTATAAAAAATAAGTAAGGTTTTGAAAGGCAGACATGAAGAAGGCAGAGTATTAGAAGAGACAGGGTGAACTAAGATATGGAGATAGATGAGCATCACAGGATCTTTAGGTAAAGTTAGAACCAGAGAGTAGTCAGAGCTAGATTTGTGGGGGGTACTGAATGCCAACTTAAAGACATTGATTTCAAGTTGTTAAAAACTTTTTGAGTAGTAGAGTAGCAGAACCAGATCTGTTTTTAAAAAGTTACTCAGGCAACAAAATGGAAGAGAGATTAGTATTCGGCCAGATTTCAGTTAAGGGCACATATACATTATACTCAAATTACTCTATGAGTAGATTAAATATTTGGGGAAAACACTATATTTAGGAATCAACTTCAATGGGAGATTTTCAGCTCAGCCAGAGTAGCCACATTTTTTTAAAAATGAAAAATTTGGAGCCTGAGTCTTCCTGGTGTGGCTTCTGCAAAAGTAACATAGAGACAACATTTTGATTGAGAACCAAGGGGGTGATTTCACTAGAATTCTTCATGTTATTGCCACACTTTAGAGATTCCCCAGTTCATTCTCACAGAAACTGTTTGGTTCTCAAGTGCTGTTGAGCTAATTCTGCTTTATCCTTAAATGTATGATACGCAAATTTATATACGCATGTGGTAGTGGTGGTTTAGTCGCGAAGTCATGTTTGACTCTTGCGACCCCTTGAACTGTAGCCTGCCAGGCTCCTCTGTCCATGGGGATTCTCCAGGCAAGAATGCTGGAGTGAGTTGCCATTTCTTTCTCCAGGGGATCTTCCTGACCCAGGAATTGAACCCAGGTCTCCTGCATTACAGGCAGATTCTTTACTGACTGAGCTGCAAAGGAAGCTCCTATATATGCATAGGTGTATATATTTATCTTACATGTACACACATATACACATGTATTCATCAAATGTACACATTCAAGTAAATAGATAGAAGCATTTTCATTCTTTGACCACTAGCCTCAAATTAAATAGAAAAAAGCAATCCAAGAGATTGCTGGTTACTGGATTTCCACGAGAGGCGTTTCTCACCACACATTTACATCAATCTCCTTTATAGGTTTTTATGAGTTGAGAGCATCAAACAATTCCTTTTTTTTTTTTTGAAAGGGAAACAATTCCATTAAAAAAAAAAAAGCAAAAAAGGGAAGCAACCTAATTCTCAAACTTGAGACCCATTACTTTCTCCTTGGTGGTCCTTTGATACTTTATCTGTTTTCTTCTCAACAGATTTCAGGGCTGGGTTTCTCTTTCCCTGAGGAATAAGTGGGCACTGCGCCATCTTGTTTGTCTGAAGATAGTTAAGAACAATGAGGGGCTTCTTCATAGCATTCCTTGATCTTACTTCAGGTGCCACTTGTACCTGAGGCTACGAGAGCACAGCCTCAGTAGAGACCGCCCCACCCAAGCCTGTGTGGTAAGACCCCCTCAGACTCATGAGACAGAGCTCCATTTCTGAGAGTGCAAAGCAGGGCCACGTCCACAGTTCTTTCCTATAACAACTCCTATTTAAGTACCTGCTATGTGCTAAGCACTGTCCTAGTCACTTCATGCATCTTATTTAAATCTCCACATAACCCTTCAGATAAGTCACCCGTATTTTAGAGAAGAAAAAACTGAAGTGTATGGAAATTAAATGATTCTTTCAAAGACACAGAGCTAGTGAGTGAGTCACTCTTATTTTTAACACATCTAATAGTGTAACACAGTTGTCAGAGTCATTGGATACACGAATACAAGTAAATCAGAAGATAATGCCCTTTCTCCAAGACAATAGCTCTCAAGTCAGGCTGCATGTTAAAATCACCTGAGGATCCCTAAGTACATTGAATCCCAGGCCTCACCCCAGACCAATTAAATCAACATCTCTGGGGGAACTCAAGCATCAGTATATTTTAAAAGCTTCTGCAGGTCCAAACATATAGTCAAAGTTGAGAAACCGCTGTTCTATAATGTGGTTTTATTATTAGAAATAATAATAAATTAGAATGCTGCTGAAAATGTTAGATAACCATTGCAAAAGGGAAAAAAAAGATTATAATTATGTTAAAAATCTAAAAATGTGCTTGGCTAATACTCCTTATTGTTTAAATGGACAACACTAAAGAGCTCCACCCAACCAGTCAACTTACTCAGCTGCTGGCAACGGAGGGACACATTTTATATTAACTCACTATGGCAGAACCATCAGTACACAGTTTTACCTGAAATCAGAAGTTTAGAAGGCTCTTTGCTGTGATTAAGGTTGCTAGCCGTAACAAATGCTTTAAGAAGTTTCAGTCCAAAGTTGTTTCTTAATGCCAAGAATTCTGGGATCTTAACCAACCACTTGTTCCTAGTGTTTGAGCAAATTCAAAGCCTCTTTAAGGAGAGAATCTGGCCCTACTCATAGGCATCTCTGACGCCATGTTTGTGTGGGACAGGTATGTCCTCTGTTTGAACAAACAGACCCAACTGGAGCTTCAGTGTTCACAGCAGAATGTGAGCTGTGCTGCCTGAACCGGGACCCAATGTTTATGGGCCATCTTCTAGTTAGGAGCCTGATGACACTAATCAGACACTGATCAAGTTTCCATTAAACTTGGAAATAACTATAAAGCAACATTTTAAAAAGAGAAACTGAAAACCTATAGAAGAGAGTGAAAATCTAAGGTACATGATAACTCTTCATTCTTTGAAGTTCCCATTCCATACATTTGGACTTCCTGGGGATAAGGTTAGCTGAAGCTCCAGTACTTTGGCCATCTGATGTGAAGAGCCGACTCACTGGAAAAGACCCTGATTCTGAGAAAGATTGAGGACAGGAGGAGAAGGGGGCAGCAGAGGATGAGAACATTGGATAGCATCACTGACTCAATGGACAGGAGTTTGAGCAAACTCTGGGAGATAGTGAAGGTCAGGGAAGCCTGGTGTGCCGCAGTCCATGGGGTCAAAAAGAGTCAGACATGATGGAAAGACTGAACAACAAGAAGGTTTAAATGCAGATTCTGATTCAGTAGATCTGGATCATTGCCTGAGATCCTGCATTTCAAGGAAGGACTTGGGAGACACCAATTATGTAGGTCCAAGGACCTCAGTTTGCACAAGCAGACCT